TGAAAAAAATGACATTTCACATTGTTTCCTCATGTTACACATTCAATACACAGAAAAACAAATTTAGAAGAATGAATGCACCTGTTTCATAACCCAAGAAATGATTTGCTAAACAGTTTTATCTGGATAATTTTGAGGTGAAAAAAAAACTTACTAAAAGTTTCATCTTAATAGCAACAGTTAAATTGTCACACACACGCATACACATTAAGTAGCAGAAATAATTTTCAATTATGATTAACACAGACATTGATAAGCAGGGGCTTACATATACACATTGAGAATCAAACATTCCAGTCAAAGTCCAATTCGCAAAATAAACCTTAAATTCGTAAAAATCCAGGCAGGGGTAGGGGTATATACGGTGATTGAATATCCGATAACTGAAGTGTCTATCCAAGGGATTAACCTCGCCATGTTCTGTCCTTCTGTGGGAAACAGGGGCTTACATATACACATTGAGAAGCAGAAACTTACCGAAAGGATTGAAGTCGTTGATTGAATATCCGATAACTGAAGTGTTGATGATGGAAAACCTTGGAAAGACGATGCTCTAAAGAATGATTGATATCGTATGTTTCAAGTATATATTGAGCATAATACGATCAAAACGACATAATAATCAAAATTAAATGTAATCGATATGATTGATATGGATACCATAATAAGATGCTCTTAATCGGGTATGTAATGAAATTAAGTTAATGTGTACAGCTGTTATGAGCAATAAAAATTGAAAGAAAGACAGGGCGTTATATGGATTCCATATTCAATTCGATATCCATATTCCATATTCCAAATTTCCATATCTAATCCTACGTGAAACCAAGAAGGGGTAAAACCGGTATTTAACATTGGCAGAAAACTGATGTTTTGAAAGGACACGTGGACAAATGGTTTTGTTTATTAGATAGGGAGATTCTTTAGGATTTTATAGATATGTGGGGGGTATCAAGGCGATGTTTGACATGCCATAAATAGTTTTTCGGTGTTTTTTTAGATTGTCATGTTTGTCAAATCAAAAAGTGTTTAATAAACCTAACCTATAAAGCGACTTTTTAAAAATATACTTTAGAGTAGCGTTTCAATACGATTATTAAATTGTTTTTTTAACACAGTTTTAATTTGGAGATCAAAACATCGAGTTATGATATTGAACAAGCTTAGGTTAAGAATATGAAAAATCCTATTAGATGACTTAGGCAAAAAAAAAAAGGAATATATTGTTACTACCTTCAAAACAGGAAGCGTAGGGGTGGTTTTGTCTACCAACATAATTTTTATTTTATTTTATTTATTTATGATTCTTTAGGATTTTATAGATATGTGGGGGCATCAAGGCGACGTTTGGAATGCCACAAATAGTTTTTCGGTGTTTTGTTAGATTCTCATGTTTGTCAAACCAAAAAGTGTTTCATAAACTCAACCTATAGACTAGCTTTTTAAAAATATATTTTAGAGTAGCGTTTTGTCTACCAAAACAGGAAGCGTAGGGGTGGTTTTGTCTACCAACATAATTTTTATTTTATTTTATTTATTTATGATTCTTTAGGATTTTATAGATATGTGGGGGCATCAAGGCGACGTTTGGAATGCCACAAATAGTTTTTCGGTGTTTTGTTAGATTCTCATGTTTGTCAAACCAAAAAGTGTTTCATAAACTCAACCTATAGACTAGCTTTTTAAAAATATATTTTAGAGTACCGTTTCAGTGCGATTATTGATTTGTTGTTTATAAAAAAAATTATCTGAAATATACTCTGTATTAATTATAAAAAAAACTAATGTTTTTCATGTCTTTCTATGTAATTTTACATGTCACATAACTTATCACCTAGTTTATCAAATATTATTTCTTGTCAAACAGTAACTAACTTTTTAGCTATCAGCTACCAGTTAGATTTTAGTTATTAACTAGCTTTTCAACTAATTTGAGTTTGTTTAATGACAACTCAATCTACAAGGCAAATGGAAGAAGAAGTTCTTGACAACTAAGATGTGTATATAGGAAGTTCTGGCATGCAATTAAGTTGGTTGACGTTTTTTTTTAAAAAAAAAATCATTTTCTAACTCCAAATTTCAAATTTCAGTGACCTTATCCAAATTTTGGATACATGAGAATATTTTGCTAATTTGGAACTCTAATGCGAAATTTAATAATCCATATAATCTTTAGAAAAGAGTTTGTTGTTTTGTGCCTAAAACTTCGAGTGTTCCTCATTGATTAACCTAAATTGAATTCCTGTTAACCAAGAAATATGAGAAATATCAATAAGGACAATAAACTTATACGATCCGTAAGATATCCAGATTCTTGGATACCAAACCTCTAGTTTGTGATATATTCATAACATGGTGTAAATGGTGTTAACATAACATCAAATTGGGTTTGAAATGCCCTAATCAAATATAATTAATCACAACAAACCTTATCTATTTTACATATTCCAAAATTTGATGTCTAAATTAAAAATCAAGACAAAATTGGTTGTCATCTTATAAGGGATGTTTGGTATAGAGAAATAAACAATAAGAAATAAAATCATTTCTATTTCTCTTGTTTGTTTTTTACTAAAATGAAGAGAAACGGGGAAAAATTAAATTCCATTCCCACCATTTTTATTCTCTGTTATTTGTAAGGAGAAGATGGGAAACAACAGGCGAATGCCTTTGAGAAAAAAAAATCAAAGAATTGTGGAACCAACCAAGCTCTCAACAGTCGATCCCTAAACCCTATATTCAGTGTGATTTTTTTCTTTTGTGTTCGATTTTATAGGGTGTGTTTAGCACGGAGCGTTTGAGAGCTTCTAGCATTTGACAAAACGTTTCATTTTGAACTAAAAGTCTTGTTTGACACTACAAGTTTTTAGCGTTTAGTTTAAGCAAAACGCTCAAAAATTCTAAAAGCTATCTAACATATGGCATGTTTGGAAAAAGTAGTTGTTAACGCGTAACGGTTATAAAATTACATAAAAGGACAATTGTTTAAAAATAAATAAATATATAAATATATTTTTAAGGGCAATTATGAGTATTGATTTCAAAAGCTTCGTAACGTTTTGTTAAACGCTACATGAAACAGCTTTTTGATTTGGAGCGTTTTGTTTAAACTAAAACTAAACGCTCGTATTATAATAAATATTTTTTTGCCACATATCATACTCTCATTCATTTTGCCACATGTCATTTTGTAGTTATTTTAAATTAAATTTTTTTCACATGTCATTTTATATTTTTTTTATTTATTAAATTTCATATAATATTTTAATATAATAATCGTAATAAATATAATAATAAATGACTATCAATTTAATTAATGTAAATTTTCTTTTATTTTTAAATTTTCTAAATTGAAGCCCAATCATTTCTTTTGTTTATTTATTTAAATTATTTGTTTAGATTTAAAAGAGAAATTGTTACTTCAATTTTAGTAATTCAATATTTTTTCTTACTTTCATTATAAATTCAAACTCTCTAAATGTTTAGACCTTTATATATATATATATATATATATATATATATATATATATATATATATATATATATATATATATATATATATATATATAGAAAGTGGATAAAAATATATTTTAAAAAACAATAAATAATTACCGTTTCTAATGTTAGATAACGGATTTTTAACATTTGTAATGTTAGATAACGGAGTTCTAACATCTGTAAAAGAATGAGAGTTTTGTATGGTTGTATTATGCATTCCAGGTGAAGTAAATGAATTGACATTTTGAGTTTGACCAACAATGTTGGTTGATCGATCTGCAAATAGCAACAACTTATAAAACCTGTAAAGATATGTATAAAACAAAGTAACAGTAAAACATAGAATATAAAATAATAATAGGGTTACAGTTTAATATATTATTTAAGAAATGCGGTATTGATGTACTTGGAACGTTCGATGTTGTTTTCATTTTCTTCGATATTTTATTTTCCAAATATATTTTTCTTTGTCTTCTTTTCTCTCTGGCTTGCATGTGGTACATGTTATTGTTGTTTTCTGCATAAGAACACATATGATAGGATATGAAATGTGAAATACGGTAAATAATATGATTATATAATACAATTGAATAAATAAGCGTACCTTTGTAAGCATTGGTTACCAATTTCGAAGAATATTGATTTGCAGCGGACGAAGAACTTGACAATTTATCTATTTTTTTATGTTAATACATGTGTATTTTAATTAATTAAATTTTATGTTAGTTAAAAAATAAGAAATAATAATAATATTGTAAATTACAACATTTAAAAAGAAACCTTTGTTCATTGAAGTATTAACCGCTGTAGTTGTTGAAGTATTTAATTTTGTAGTCTTTTTAGAAGAAAGGGAATGCATTGTATGTCTGCAACCTTAAGAGATAAATGAGATTACTTTAAAAATTAAAATATTTAAGAAATAGCAAATCAGTAGTTTATATAATATTTATATAGCGAACAAATATGTATAATGTAAATTTGTAGTATTTTTAAGTATTTTTGTTAAGTATTGGCAAAAACGGTACAATAACATTATATAATTTTTTTATAATTTGTTTAACCATTGTAAATCTGAAAATATTAATTTAGTCATGTATTATTTATTTTTATAATCGAATTTTTATATTTGTTTATATTGTGTAAAAGTGAATTTAATTAAAGATATTAAAGTTAACATGAGTCGGGTAAGATCCAAAGCTAAAAATGGGTCGGAGTCGGATCCAAATAAGAGTCGATACACACACGCACTGTAACTCGTAACGTGTGTTGTATATGCAGAAAGAAATCGGGTGAAGAAAGCAATACTCTCCCAACAACTCTCTTTCTACAGACGTCTTCTTCATCACTCACTCTCTCTATCTTTCTCTTTTTGTGTGTGTCTTCCTATCAGTGAGCCTAAAAGCCAGTTGGTTTCACAGATATTCTGTATTTGGACCGTCGTCACCGGTTAACCCTCAATGACTATCCTCGATTAACACACCATCGATTGCGTTCAACAACGCATGAAACGGAACCTTGAAGATTTCATCTACAGTGCCTTATCCTCCTCCGAATTAGTCTCCGTCAGGATGAGGTTAGACGATCCTAACCCCGACTCTCCTTCTTCCACTGCAACCCTAAATTCATTACCTGGTGTGAATCACGTGTCATCATCCTCATTTCCAACCTAGGGCTTATTCCATTTCCATTTGTTCTTTCCCCAATTTGAACCAATTTTGAGTACGACGTGCACGTGATCCTGTAGTCGAGAAGAAGAAGAGAGAAGGTAGGCCCAATAAGCGATCGGAGCATTTAGTGGGTAATCACGTTAAAACTCGAGCGGCTGCAGCTAGGGAAGCGACGGCGGTTGGTGTTGAGCCGAAGCAACAAAAGAAGCCGCGGCTGCCGACTAAGAAGAAAAAAGAGGGTTTAGCAAAAAAGCCGGTGGTTGTCATTTCTGAAGCAGAGGAGGATAAAAAGCGAACAGAGGAAACAGGAGAAGAGACATTCAAAGGAGCAATGGCAGATGGAAGCGGTGGCTTGAGCGCTAACAAGGTTACAGGCCAGGAAGAAGAAGGGAATACCGCCCCTTTTCCTGAAAGGGTATGTTGTCTATTGCTCCTTCGATTTTTGTAATGCTTCTTTACTTATAAAACGCATTGATTTTCAGGTTCAAGTAGGTGGATCACCTCAATATAAGGTCGAAAGAAAATTAGGGAAAGGTGGATTTGGTCAGGTATTTGTTGGTCGTCGTGTATCTGGTGGAACTGATCGCATATCAGGTCCTGGTGCTACAGAGGTAATGTTCTTGCATCAAACAATCAAGCTTACATTTTATATAAAATCTGATTTCTGCAATTCATTTTCTTTAATTTTGGTTGTGACTTGTGACAGGTAGCTCTTAAGTTTGAGCATAGAAACAGCAAAGGCTGCAGTTATGGTCCTCCATACGAGTGGCAAGTTTACAAGTATGTTGTAACATCCGGAATTCCAGGTATAATATTTTATCATTTATTTTTGAGAAAAAGAGAGGGACTCAACGAGTTGAGTCGTAGACTCGTCGAGTAGGACCGCGAATGCTGACTGGATTAATGAACGGACTCGACGAGTCGATGCGTGGACTCGGCGAGTCCGCGCTGTAAAATGAAACCCTAAATCTCAGGGCCTGAGCCCTATGTAAAGGCCTTTATGGCCTCCATTTGCGGCTACCAGTCCAGAGAGAGATACCCTAGCGATTGTGAGCGAGTTGTGAGAGAGTTTGAGCCTTTTTGATCATTTTTGGTGTGATTTTGCAAAGGAGAAAGTGTTTCCAGCAAGGGGAAGTCAAGAGGATTGCATTTCAGTGGGTTTTCAGCTTGAATCTTCAAGTTTGAGGTAGCTAGTCGATCCTATTCTCTTGTTTTGCTCAAGGACATTGAATTTAGGGTTTTCTATACCCTTTTATGGCTTGTTTAGTTGTGCATAGTGTCCCATTGAGTGCTAAACTCTAGATCTGGACCTTTTGAGGTCCAGAGAGCCTTTAACCATACTGCTTTTTGTGGTTCTATGGAGGAAATGGACTTAGGTTGCCATGTTAGAAGGAATTTCACCAAAATAAGCCTCGTGAGCATTGCATGTGTAGCAAGATTCGACCTTTACGTGTTTATTGGTCATGGGGAAGTCAGATCTATAGATTAGAGAAGCAGATCTGACCTCAGGAGGTCAGATGAGTGATGTCATGGGAGGAACTCGCCGAGTCCATAAGTGGACTCGACGAGTCGAGTCGGGTTGCCCCGCGATTCGCGACCTGTGATAACCGTTGAGTGTAGGGTTTACTCAGCGAGTCGAGTGAGGACCAGGGACGAAGAGGACATGCATGGACTCGCCGAGTCACACGAGTGCACTCGCCGAGTCACAGGTAGGGCCGGAAGGTCTACCAGAGTTATGGGACGGAAGTCCCCTGAGACACAGAGACCGGAAGGTCTTATAGCCTTGAGTGGCGTATGTGCGTATGTGGTATTTTGGGGAACTCACTAAGCATTTATGCTTACAGTTGTTGTGTTGTGTGTTTCAGGTACTAGCGAGGACTGTGGGAAGGCGCCGGCATGATCCGTACACACTGAGAGGATCTATGTATATGAGATATTGGGATTTGTCTGTGATGATAACATTGGATACATTTTGTTTGGATATTGTTTTTGATGATTAAAAGTATGATTTAAAAATGAAAAATTGTTTTGAAAATTTACGTCGTTACATATGTGCACATTATGTTTTTGTGATTAGTAAACAGATTAACATTGTTCTTTTTTGAATTTAAAGAAGTGGATTTGTTTTTTCTTGGTGAAACAGTACTCTGGGTGGGAGTCATGGAGTGCCTAAAGTTCATTATAAAGGAAAACAAGGAGATTACTATGTTATGGTATATGCTAATACTTGATGAGTTTTTAGTTTATTTAAATGAATAACTATATAACATTTCTTTTTCTCTATTTACATTATAGGTCATGGACATGTTGGTGCCTAGTTTGTGGGATGTTTGGAATTCTTCTGGACAAACGTGAGTTCTCCATAAACCTATGAACATCAAATGATTATTTCCTCTATTTTTTCTTGTGGTTTACTGCATTTTGATTTAACATTCCAAAAGTGGTAACTTGTTTTTTATTGTTGCATTTTGTTTTCCATGATGTCATCAGAAATGGTGGCTTGTATAGCTGTGGAATCTTTATCAATTTTGGAAAAGATTTCTACAAGAGGGTATATAAAATATATATAATATATATACATTCCAAATATTCTTATTCTTTTTTCATTTCACTATATAAGATGTTTCCCCTTTCCCTTATATTCATTGCAAGAGTTATGTCTGTATTTATAGTTATGTGCATGGAGATGTAAAGCTAGAGAATTTTTTACTTGGTCAACCATCAACAGCTCAAGAGAAGAAACTATTTCTTGTTGACTTAGGGCTAGGTAAGTCATTTCATCCAATTCCTTTCATGGGTTTTCTATTACATCTCATTTTCCATTAACACATTCATTGATATGATGGTATCTATCAAATGCAGCAACAAAGTGGAGAGAAAGTATAAATGGTCAACATGTTGACTACGATCAAAGGCCTGACATGTTTAGGTGAAATCTCATTCTCCTAACTAATTAAACCAAACCCTTCATTTCATATTATATTGTTTTTTTAATAAATGTTTTGGTATGTTGTAACAGGGGAACAGTTAGATATGCTAGTGTGCATGCATATTTAGGAAGAACAGCAAGTAGAAGAGATGATTTAGAATCTCTTGCATATACACTTGTATTTCTACACCGTGGTAGACTTCCTTGGCAAGGGTATCATGTATATTCCTTAATTACACCAAAATCTCATACTTATTGCACAAAATAACAACATACTTTACTCCTTTTCAACATTATATTTACATTTCTTCACCCCTTATAGCAACATACTTAAATTTATTTACCAATAATATGAATATGTAACTTATAACAGCAATGTAGAAACAGTTCTTTAATCAGGTATTTCTGTTTCACAAGAGATAACACTTTTTTTCTTACAGTATTTGCTGATATCAAACAGATGAAGAGATTCAACAACCTTGTTTCAAAAGTTTAGAGCTTTAAGAACTTGATGGAACTTTACAAGGTACATAATATTTTCTTATTCAATATGCCTTTTGATCGATGTTTTTCTTTAGTTTGGTTGGAGCAGAATCCTGAAAACAAAATAAGCGTATAAATGGTATAATTGTATATATTTCAGAATTTGATAAATCGGTGCAGATTTTTTGGGATTTAATCACTGCAATTTATTTAATTTCTAATCACATTAAACAGACTGCCATATTAAATCGGGTTTTTCTCATTTCAAATTTGAAGAACCGATTTTTTCATATTATTTTCAAATCTTTTATTCATTTAAATTGATTGGTTGCATATTTTGAGTGCAGGTTTTTCCGGATTTTTGTGGATTTATTGCAACTGGATCGTTTGATTTGAAGTAAAGGGCATTTACGTAAATAAGGCTTAATAAAAAAAAAAGCTGGAAAACTAAATTGTTGGGTACGTGGCGTGGCGTGGCATGATTGTAATTATTTATTAGAATAGGAGATTTATATCCGGTATAATTTACATATATCAAACTTTCTCGATCTAACGATACAATTCTGCAATTTTTTTAATCTCCGATACAGGAATTCCTTGGCGTTTTTTAACTGACGAGCGATTCTGCATCGATTCAATCCGTTTTTTCGTTTTTTTTTTGCTTGTTCATCTTAGTTTTATTTAATTACGGTAAGTTAATTTTTTGTTTGAGGCACAAATTTTTATAAAGCACTTTGATTCGCGAGACTTTGTTGCATATCGAGCTTTATCTTTGTGAAAATTCGATCTACGACACGAAAAACTTTGAAATCTTTATATTTATGTATTGGTGTAAAGCTTTTGGATCTCGAAAAGGCGTGTTATAATCGGATGAGTTCAAATTCTGTAATGTTTATTATTTTGGTGATGTACCCGGGACCATTATCGATTCATGAGTTCAATCGTCAATAAATTATGCTGAAGCTTTGATCTGGAACAATCGTGCTTATACAATATTCTTTTGATGTCTGTTGCTCTTCCAATGGTTTATATTCTATTCATGTAAGTGGTGTTTATTTTGATTGATTTTGAATACAATGTGATTGCAGATATCTGTTGATCAGGGGGGAATTCTTAACATTTATGTGTCTCTGAGACATTGATTCGTGGTTGGTGATGGTTCCCTTAGAGTTAGAGTGAGGGAAATTGATGGATTCAGCAAGGAGTTGGCTACATAAATTTCAACCAAGAGACCGATGAGGTCAAATACCAGAAGGAGGGATTCGATGGGTGGTGGTGAAGATGACATTTCTGGTGAAGAGGCATCAAATATCACAAAGCAAAAGGTTGCTGCAGCCAAGAAGTATATTGAGAACCATTACAAGGAGCAAATGAAGAATTTGCAGGAGAGGAAAGAAAGGTACATCAAAGTCTTGATGAAATTACATAATTTAGTGTTTTAGTTTTTGACCATTGCATGATATTAGAACATCAATCCAGTAAGTAACACTTGGATTTTGTTTAAATAGGCGAATTTCACTCGAGAAAAAACTGGCTGATGCTGATGTTTCAGAGGAAGATCAAGACAACTTACTTAAATTTCTAGAGAAGAAGGAAACCGAATACATGCGCCTTAAAAGGGTGCTGATGATTTTGAGCTACTCACCATGATTGGAAAGGGTGCTTTTGGTGAGGTCAGAGTCTGCAGAGAGAAGACAACAGGCAGTGTATTTGCCATGAAAAAGCTCAAGAAATCAGAAATGCTTCGTAGAGGCCAAGTCAACACTTTATTAATTCTATACAATGTTTATGACTTTATGTTTTTGTTACTACACAAGCAAGTACTTAAGTTTATAAATCCCATTTTTAGGTTGAACATGTGAGAGCTGAAAGGAATCTACTTGCAGAGGTAGACAGCAACTGTATAGTCAAACTATATTGCTCTTTTCAAGATGATGAATATTTATATCTAATCATGGAATATCTTCCTGGTGGAGACATGATGACTTTACTTATGAGAAAGGACACCTTAACCGAAGATGAAGCCAGATTTTATGTTGCAGAAACAGTTTTAGCTATTGAATCCATCCACAAACATAATTATGTACATAGGTATATCTCCTTTGAAATCTTCTTTTTTAGTATATACTCAAATTTTTTTTTTTTTTTTTTTTTTTTGCAACAGAGACATCAAACCGGATAATTTGCTACTTGATAGATACGGGCATTTGAGATTATCAGATTTTGGATTGTGTAAACCTCTAGATTGTAGTACACGGATTTTTCAAATGTGGATAATGGTGTTGGAACTTCAACGGGTGATGATCGTTCTGGAGCGCACAACAAGAACAACTTCAACATTGGCAGAAAAACAGGAGAACACTTGTAATGGATCCATCTTGTTCTTCTTATATAATAACTGGACAAAAAAATGGATCTTTTTTGATACTGACATACAAATAAACTACAACTCTATTTTGTGATATTTTTCAGGCTTATTCTACTGTTGGAACACCTGATTATATAGCTCCCGAAGTTCTACTGAGCACTTGAATGTGATTGGATGTAATTTTATAGGTTCATGAATTACTTTAAGCCTAATTCCAATTTCAACTTTGTATGTTTAAAATGATTATTTGATTGATTGATTGTTGTTGTTCTTCAGGTGGTCTCTTGGGGCGATTATGTTTGAAATGCTTGTAGGGTATGGGTATCCACCTTTCTACTCTGATGATCCAATGTCAACTTGCAGGAAGGTATATCATTTGAAATTAATTAAGTATTTAGGATAAGTATATTATGTTATTTATGGGTGCTAATTTTGTTAGAATTTGTAGAGTAAACTGGAAAATACATTTGAAGTTTCCGGAAGAAGCAAGGCTTTCATTAGAGGCAAAAGATCTGATTAGCAAACTGCTTTGTAATGTGAACCAGAGGCTTGGTTCAAAAGGTGTTGTATGCCTATGGTGTGTTCTTTTCTAGATTCTTGGAAAATTATTCCAAGTAGTCAATTTTTAAATAAATTGACTTATTTTGTTATGTTAGGCTCATCCTTGGTTTAGAGGTATTGATTGGGATAGAATTTATCAAATGGAAGCTGCATTCATTCCAGAAGTTAATGATGAGTTAGATACCCAAAATTTGAAGAGGTATTTTCTTCTATCTGTAAATTTAATATCATCATATATTCATTTGACATGAGCTTTCTCTTATCTCCTTTATTTGTTTTCTTGTTGTGTTCATGTTTCAGTCTGAACACCAAAACAATAGTTCATCAAGATCTGGACCATGGAGAAGGGTAAGCTTTCTAGGGCTGTTTTTTTAATGATGAGGGTATTTACGTCTTTTGCAAAGTTGTTGGTTTGTCTTTATGTTTCTTGTTTTCCTCTCACTATTCTTTTATTTATTTATCTGCAGATGCTTTCATCCAAAGATATCAACTTTGTTGGTTACACATACAAGAATTATGAGATTGTTAATGACTATCAAGTCCCTGGAATGGGTATCTCTCTCTCTTTCCTGTGAAGTATTGTCTGGATAAAATATCTGAGAATTCATGTTATTAAAATCGACTCATATTTATTATTGCAGCTGAACTTAAAAAGAAAAGCAACAAACCAAAGAGACCAACTATCAAGTCACTATTCGGTATGCTTTCTTTATTTTTTATTTTCTTTAATGCAAGAAATAGCAACGTACTTTCATTTCTTCTTATTAGATTTTCCAAAGTACAATGTCCTAATGAGAAAAAAAATGAAACTACAATGCTGTAAGTTTTGCCTGATTTTGTTAAGCTGGTATCCTTCTTTTTACAAAGGAAGGGCCAGAAACAGACACAGAGACAACATCTGATGCTGGCAACAAATCGTTTTCAAATCGGTTGCCACCAAAAGTAGAAGTTTCTGAAAAGCAAAAATAGAAGACAACTAATAATCTTATTGTGGGTTTTTTTTTATTCACTTTAAGTTGCTGTCATAATATTTACTAAATTACTTTCACTCTTTTTATACAAAAAGATAACATTTATCAGTTAAATATGGTCTCAAGAAGTATTTGAAGTATTAGAGTATTTTAAATCCAGTTATTGTTCAGTATTATTCGTGACTTTTTTTTGATAAGCCCCTACATTTCTGTTATCTTTTTGGCCAGGGGTAGAATGGTCTTTTCTGGTATTATGGCTGTTATTGGCTGATTATGTTGGCTGTTATTCCCTTTTGTCTTGTCTCTAGTGGTAGTATATATAGTCCTTTTGTTTTAGAGAGTCGGTAGCTAAGAATTATTAAGAATTGAAGATTGATCTTCTTGGAGAGTCCATTCCTCTCGAATGAATGGGAAAACACTGATATCTTTATCTGTTTCATAGATTGATTATCAATGGAGTCTATTTCTTGTTCAAAAATGTATAAGCTATCATTTTTCTTCAGAAATACTGAAAAACATCATAACTTTTCGAGTAATCTCCAAGTTTAAGATTTGCAATTGATGCTCTTAAATTATGTCAAACTCATCTTAATTATTTGGGAAAATTTAGTTGGAAGTTGTTGGAAAATAAAGACAGTAAAACGAGCAATTCGAATCACAAAGTATATTTTTAATAACTTACTCTATTGTGCTATAATTTTAAAATTATAGAACTGTAACTATTTAAAGAAAAAACGACAATAAAGTATTGATGGATCAAATGCAACTCGACCCATTTTAACATGCACAAACTTCAGCTGTTTTGACCAAAGCCCATTCCAGGTTGAATAGATTGACCGATAACTTTTGAAAAATAAATACATAAAAGATAGGATTTTAAAAATCTTGCGTCTATGGGAGGTTTATCTAATCCGTTAAACAAGGGAATTTGAAAAGAATTTTGAATTTAATATTCTTTTATGTTTTTGTATGGGACAAGAAATTATATAACAATATTTATCTAAATAAATTAAATATCCTCTTACATTTTATTCCTACTATCTTCCTACCCATATTAAATGGTGATAAGTGGACTAAAATATTATCAATTTAATTAAATGTGTCATTAAATGTGACACATGTCAACATTTGATACGATAGGAGGGATAAATAGGAATAAATTCTAAGAGGATATTTTATTTCTCTTATCTAAATCCATTTAAATATCATGAATTTCATCAATCTAAATAGATCCTTAACATGATTGATTTTTATATTATGTAAAAATTCAAAGAAAAAAAAAAGTTTGAACGAGGAAAAGTTTAATAAATGAAAATTTTATTTTAATAAAATATTAAAAATATTATGTTTTTATTAAAAATAATAATAAGTTACAAAAAAATCACTAAAAGAGAATTTTGATCATATTACATAACTACTTTTCAATTCTTTTGACATATCTAAAACCAAACAGAAAATAAATTTCATTATGTGTCAATAAAACTTATAACGGATTCCAATTCATTCAAATTATAGTTACTTAGGTTGCGTTTAGTTACTAGAAAAACAGTTTTCATTTTTCATTTTTTGTTTTCCCTATTCAATTTTAGTTTTCGATTTTCAATTTTCATTGGAAAATTTAGAAAACGTGTTTAGTTAAAACTTATTTATTTGTAACACCGTAAATTTTCAAACAATTTTTTTTTATTTTTAGATCACATAATTCTCATAACACATTTTATAAAAATCTCATTTATTTAATTTACAAAACGCAACTCCATGTTTGATTAATAATCTAAGATCTTTGAAACATAACTCTTTCTCTGGTGTGTACAATCAAGCCGGTGCCTTCCCGCGATCCTGAGAAACCTGAAACACATAACACATAACACGGTAAGCACGAAGCTTAGTGAGTCCCCCAAAATACCACACACACAACTCATTAGCCACTCGAGGCTATATCACTGTAAGACCCTCCGGTCAATGTGTCTCGGTGGGACCCTCCGGTCCCATAACTCAGTAAGCACAGAATAATACACATCATAAATCACATAGACATAATGCAGGATATCACAGTACTCAATATAAACACATAAGACATCTCGGTCACACAAGGATACCACACATGGTAAGTATAGTGAGAAGACTCACCTCGCAAGCCGCAAGCAAATATCCTCGAACTCGAATCTCGAATTAGCCATTGCCTAACACATAGGGTAAATATCTCTAATCAGTGCTTGATTCTCGACTCTAAGTAACCAAATGTTATCCTTCTCTCTCTAACTCTTGAATTGGGTAAAAGACCATTTTACCCCTCCATGGTCTCCATTACTCATGTTGACCAAACCCTAAAGTCAACAAAAGTCAAACTCGAGTCAACAGTCCATGTTTGACCCGACTCGTCGAGTGCAATCTTGCGACTCGTCGAGTCCCTTCGTTTCCTCATAAGTCTCAAGAAAGTCCAACTCAACTCGTCGAGTTGACCCCCAACTCGCCGAGTTATCGCACAATCAAACCCATCGGAACAAACCCTCACCGACTCGTCGAGTCAGGTCATGGACTCGGCGAGTCTCTTCGGTCAGATTCCTCATTTAGACGATTTAAGGCAGATCCATCACTCCAAACACTAGATCTACCATCCTAAGGGTCGATTGTCACGTAAAGCTGCAAGCTTTACGTTTAAACATGGCATATAAGACTCATAATGCCAATACAAGCTCCCACAAGGGCACCAACACAATAAGTCTTTAAGTGATTGAATAAAACTTGAGCCTTTGGGCCATCTGGACCTCACAAGGTCTAGATCTGAAGTCTAGGCCTAGAAAGGGACTCCATGTACTCATATCTTAACAAAAAGGTGATAGAAAACCCTATTCATCAAAACATGAGATCTAATCAACACAAGGAGAAATGTGAGAACTTGTTACCTTCTCCAGAAGCTCTTGGACGAAATAACACTGATCTACTGGCCCCCTTCTTGTTCCTTGATGAATCCTTCCCTCCTCTTCAAAAGAAATGTACCAAAGGACCCCAAAATTAGCTCCTTACACTCTCTCTAGCTCAGATGGCGTTAGGGTTTACTCTCAGTGATGGTGAGCCGCAAATGAGGCTATAAGTTCCCTTATATAGGCCCCAACCCCGAAGAAATTAGGGCTTCTCTGTCCAGCACCTACTCGGCGAGTCAGCTCCCTGACTCGTCGAGTCCACTCATTAATTCCACGTGGCCAACCCGACCTTACTCGGCGAGTTGGACTCACAACTCGCCGAGTCACCCCATAAATCTCAAAGATAACACACATTAATGCATCTGAAAATCCGGATGTTATAATTCTCCCCCACTTGAATTAGATTTCGCCCTCGAAATCGTTCCTCAACCACACATAAATCGAACCCAATATCCCGAAAAGCACCACTGAAAGGATCCCATACCACACCGATATCGTTCTCTATGGATACCTGAATCCAAACAAGAACTCCCAAATTTGGAATAAAACCGACCCCTCTGCCGCTACGATACCCCTTCTGACTTTCTAGAATCTAGAAACTCTATTGGTCTGTCCCACTGCCAGACCGCTCTCTCAAGATATTACCATGTTATTCGCTCCTCGAATAACAGACTCCGATAACTCACTGCCCCTCTAATTCTCAATACCGACCCTCTGATAGAAACAAGTCAAAGTCCACAATCGGCTACCGATAACTCATACCAGACATACTAAACGATCCAAATCACCCTCTGAGGAACGAAAGTATTCACATCTCTCCAGGGACTCATCCACTGTACAGCTATCAGAATCCATATGAACAATGAGCTCTCAACACTCTGTCCTCAGTCATAACAATAATCATGCTTGCTCAGAAGTGTCCTCTGACATCCGAAATCATAAACCCCAGCTTCCCCTCCAATATCCCTTTCAACACTGAGTACCAGGTCAACTCCCGATCCCACAGTTGGACCTCCAATGGTTACCCATTGCATGCCCCAAAACGTCTCACTGACTTCCTTCTCACAACAACTATGTCCGCCCATTGTGACGCACAAGTCACGAAGTTTGTTTTACCCCAAACGGATACCACAATCCCAACTAAAATCGTCTCACCCTCGACCTCTGTCGTCTACTACTCATTAGTTACATGCGCCTCACGGTCCTCCCCATACAAAGAAACTGACCCACTCAGGTCTAAGACTCAGATGACACCCAATACTCCTCAAAATGAAAACCATCTCTGAATCCGGAATCGCAGTCACCTGCTCAATTCACCACCCAAGCCAATTCAAACTCAAGCGTCTGGTCCCACATAGAATTGGAACCACTCGTCCCAATAAGGCACTCAACTCATGACCCATGACCCGCAACCCACGCGTACATCACTTCTCCAATTCTTCGATTGCGATAACCACAACTCGACTCGGAATATAACGATTCCCGACAATTATGGAGACCCCAGTCTCGCCTCTGACCCGACCACCAGGTTCCCGAAACTTAAAGAATAAGGCTACCCAAGCCTAAAACCCTTCCGCGTCATGCTCTGCCTAGCGAATAATACGGCTCCCCGTAGTATCACGACATTCCTTCTCACTAACTCGTGAATACTACGGCTCCCCACAGTACCATGACACTCTCTCACTAAATAGCGAATACAACGGCTCCCCGCAGTATCACGACACTCTCCCTCTATCCGGTGAATACTACAGCTCCCGAAGTACCACAATACTCTCTCCCACTGACTCATGGATGCTACGGCTCCCGTAGTCTTACAACACTCTCTCGCTCACCGGCTCACCATGGGCTTACTCCATAATCCTAAGCGATTACTCCCACCCGGATCCTCTCGCTCTCTTATCATCCCATACTCCTCCTCGAGTCACCTCCCCACTGAGTTTACTATCGAATACTTTACGGCTCAACATTGATAGGTACACACACCCACCCAGGTGAAGCATCACCACTCCTGACGACAACCGTTATGTCCAACACTTCTTCTCGCTGCAATCTACACTCTTGGATTCTTCCGCTTGATGACAGTTAGCTGAAGGGCTCCCGCTGGAACCATAGTCACTTGATACTCCACTTGCCATCTCATGACTCAAGTCTCAAAATAATCCGAAATTCAGGGCATTATACTCGGATACCTCGGTACCCCATCACAGAACCTCACGATGTCTTGCCTTAGCCACTGCTCTCCTACTTACGGCGTCATACTCAGATATAGCCATGCATCCATTCAGAATCTCACAACTGATCCTCCTTTCATACAACTCGCAACCTCGGAGTATTCCAACTCTCAGTTGAAATACGGAGGAATCGTCAATGACTCTAACACGTTGACGACCATCCGAAACTTCTTCCTCTATTGCTCAAACCCATGCAAGAATACACATACCGACCCTGAAGTTGGTTGCCCAATCAACTTCTACCCTTTCCAAAGTGCCCATAACAACCCATACGTTAAGCCCGAAGTTCTCCACCGTCGAAGCTATCCTTTCGAGCCAACCACCTCGAATTTACCCTTTCAACCTTGAAGAATTTCTAACCACCACATTGATGGGTTTTAGGT